TATCAACTCCAGATACACTTCACCATTCATTTTATCAACTCCAGATACACTTCACCATTCATTTTATCAACTCCAAATACACTTCACCACACATTACATTAACTCCAAATTTACTTCATTAATAATTAATTCAACTCCAAATACACTTCATCAAAGCACATCAGCTCCAAACATACTTCACCAAACATTACATCAACTCTAAATATACTTTATCATGTAAACCAATATCTCTGAACACATGACATCACATGTCAACCCCAAACACTCTAACACGCATACCAGTATATTGGGATCTCATAAAAATCTCGTGGTAATTCAAAAGTCATGATAGTCATTGTGGCAGATCCTTTATGGCACATGTAGGCATTCCTAACACTGGATATGTAATTTTGTCGGAATTTAAATGTTCAAGCATAACAGAAATTGGTGTGTTTTGTTCATTTCAGAAATAATTTTGGAAATTAATCTTCTTGGGATATAACACAAAAATAAATCAAAACTCCAGTATATGTCACAACTGACCATATCTGTTACTCTACAAGAAACATGTTTAAGGTGAATTTGGTCGTAGTTTTGCAAGAGATCACATGATCCACCAGGAAATTTTGATTTGCTAAAGGCACCAGTTATTTAGTGAGCAAACTAAAACATTCGCACTTTATGCATCAACTGGCAAATAACACAAACATCAAATGTCGTTTTTGATACAACCTTTTTTCTATAATGATTTGATAAACGTTCCACAATAAACATGCATTTGCCTTTCAAGGTCGTTGTGTTTCACAAACAAACACCAATGTACACCACACAAACAAACACCGTCACAAAATACAATTATTGTCAAATTGCACCTGTCAGTTTTGAAGAGAAAAAAATGGAAAGGAAATTGAAATGAATCTGCTCTTCACAAGTATGAAACAAGTTTGAACAAGAGATATTTATTGACCTTGTTGTCTGAATGGAATTATGTATTGGATCTTAATTAGGAAGAAAATTGTAGAATCTGAAAAAAGATTCACTTGATTCAGGAATCAAATCATAAACATCTTAGTGAAAGGCAAGCACGCTTACCACCAACCATCCACCACCAACCACCCAGTGATTTTCTTTTTCTTTCCTCCGATTAATTCCTGATTTTACGATTTAAAAGCATTAGGCCTGACACAGATTTACAAGATATCACCATTACTTACCCCTTGAATTAAAGATATTTTCCATATAATTAACTGTTACTATTTTGCAAATTATAAAACACTAACAGTAAATTCACTTTATATTTTTGAAGATTTCGTACAGAATTCAAATCCATTCATAATATCAAAACTTCGGGATAAGCATGAACCAACACAATAAACGCTGCAATCTCCACATGTATACTTCAATTTCCATGAGCCATGCCTTGCTGCGAACAATTTAGCATATTCTAATGAGCGCATAGATAATGAAATGAATATACATGTATGCAAATTGGGTTTAGTAATATGAGCTGAATTTGTAAGTGTGAAATACATGTATATCATATGGATGAACAAATAGCTGTTAATTATAAAGAGATGGAAATACTGAAATCTTTCTATGGCTTCATTAGATATATAATTCATTAATTTGTTAATTGAAAAAGGTAACAAATATGCATAAAAAGTATAAAAGAAAAAAGAATTTTATTTTTTTTAGACGGTTTAAATTATTTTCCCTGAATACTCTTTTGACTTCTTGTAAATTGGCAGTGTTATATCAATGAATATTTAGAGAAAGCGTTTCCAACTTTCCACTACAGCTGTATTGTTTAAATCATTCTATAATTTAATATATGTAGCATGTTTTTTATATAAATGATTTAAGCAACAACACAAAAACGCACAAGCACAACACTTAAAGTAACTAAACACAAGCTTAAAAAGGCAAATGCAATCATCCTAATAGAGTTTTCTCCCTTTTTTCACAAAAGTAGTGACTGGTTAGAGTTACTTCCCTTCTCCTATTAAAATATGTTTGAAAAAAAGCAAAATTTTTATATTAAAAATCTTTCAATTAATTTTGCTGAATTAAACATTTTAATGGTCTAAATAGAAAAGGAAAAGTCAGAAAAATGGCAGGAATTTGAAAGTCTTGAAGGAAAATGGCAGAAATTTAAAAGTCAGAAGGAAAATGGCAGAAATTTCCAAACAGAAAGTGACACAGACTTGGCAAGGATGTGAATACAAGCTAAAATACTGACTTTAATTCCAACATAGAATTATCCAGAGGTGTACACCTAAATCTTACTCTCCATGTCCACATTATATACTGTAAAATATCAATTATTTCACTGACATTTGTCTGTTTTGAAATGCAAATTAATTTTCAGCTCTACTTACAACAACACTAACTTAAAAGTATTTCAATAAAATTTTCAATAAAATAAATACTTTGATTTTTTTAATCAAAATGCGTAAATTACAAAATTAGAGTCAATATTACAGTATTTTATTTTGTGCTGTTTTAACATGTGGAGTAAGAAGCGCGATCGACCCGGGACATTCCTGCATACTTACTTGTTATAAATGTCGGGATCATACTTCCCATAGAAACTTGCAAATAGACAGGTACATCAAGCTCATACATATGTTTTAATAATTACGTTTTCAATTTAATTCCTTTTTAAAATGATGAATATCAAACATTCACAGGATGTAAATAAGAAACATACATAATTCAGAATTCAAAAGTTAAAAGTCAATAATTAGATCACAAATTTTGTCACAAGTCACAAAAAAAACACCAAACACCCACTATTTATGACTGCCATGATGGCAGAGAACCAATGGCATGATTTGGCTTTGTCAAGAATAAATTTCTGAAGAATTGTTATTATTTGGTCTAATTTCAAAATAATTCCTCTACAGGTATCCTTCACAGTTTACAAATCTGTGTAATTTGTAGTAGAACATCAATTGTTTTTCCTTGTGATTCTCGCATTTTTTATAAGCACAGTGCAATAATGTTTTATTATCTGAACAATGTGCTTACATTTCCTCATCACAAACACATTTATTTTGTATGTTGTCATTGAAACAGATGTTGGTCGTTGAGGACAAAAGGTCAATGAGCAAGGGTTAGAGTTCAAGGTTAACAACAGAAGGTGATACTATGTAATATTATGATCTGATTTCTTCTCGGTTTGATATAAAATATTTCACGGGGAATAACTAGAACTCTTTTAATACATATAACAAACAAACATAGCCACTTGCTTTTATTCTCTCAGGAGATTCAATTAATTGGGAGAAATGAGAGATTACAGCCCCCGGACACTCCCCCTCCCAAGTCTCCAACTTATGTTTCTAGTGGATGTGACACATGTGACATTTTCACAACTCAAACGTAACGTTACAGCCAGATTAGTCTGCCTGTGACCTTTCGAGTGTGACCCCTAGGTGGCAGCACCATTGGCCATTAATTTGCCGACTGACAGGGCTTTGTCTATCAGGACCCGGGCCATTGTTCCACCAGGGTTGGGTTTCCCATTTCTACTCATCTTGAATTTCGAGGCAATCATTGACACAAAGAAGGAACGTTGCCATTTGATAACATTGACTTGAAACATGTACAATTTCAAACGCCCCTACAACAGATACATATACACAGTATTGACGCCCATGGTGACAAATCAAACGGACAAACAGTAAAACACACAAGTCAGATTAGAACAGGACAGCTAGAAAAACAACCAGAAGTACATATCGCTACCAGCATATACCTGTTTGTTGATTGACAATTTTTCTAAGAATTGTCTGATTTTCTACAAACAAGTCTACAGCAGGGGCAGAGCAATAGGACAGTAAACTAAGGTTCCAAGTTAAATGTAAACAAGAAAATCTTTTTTGGAGCTTGTTTGATGTTTGACTTTTATTAGAAAGATAAGGTCGAATTTCATATGGATCGAGGTTGGAACTGACATAAAAGCTCATAGCAGGAGGGACAATAGACTAATTAGAGTTCAACTTAATTAATTAAGACTCTGTCAAAGTAATAATTTGTAAAAAATCTGTGGAATTTTAATTGATATTACCCTCTCATTTAAAAGTTCTCAAAGGGTGCTACATTGACATTTTGATGTTTGTTTTTCAATTGTCTTGTTTAGTGCCCTACAAGTCCTTGATTATATTATTTAAACTTTGCCTCATTAAGCTACATTGACCTTTTGACCTTTCTGTTTTTGTCCTTGGTGATGTCCATTTTGACCTTTGCCCTTATTCAGCCCCTTACCTGTCAGTGTTGTCACTGATGTCAGGGGGATTGGATTTGCCGCCACCCCGACCTCCAGAATCCTTGTTCTTCCCTGTCTGGGGAGGATACCCTGTAATGTAAAGAACATAAGTATAGGTTGCACACCACTAAATCAGTCAATGAAAAATATAATTATATAACTAGATTTAACATCATTTTCATTAAACCTTAAAATTATAAAGCAACTCAACTGATAACCGAATAAAGCTTCAGTCTGAGGTGTTGAATTGATCGGTTTGATTTTTAAGAAATAGTTTTTATGTAAGTAAAGTTATGTCTTTGTTTGAGCAATCCTATTATCTTTGTGTGCACAGATAACATGTTTGATAAAGAATATGCAGCCATTGACAAATTTGCCATTGTAATGGTGTCTGTTGGGATATCAAACAACACATAAAGAGTTGTATACAAAAACAAGAAACAGAAAGTGGACTCTGATGCTGACCTGTAAGGGGACAATGAAATTAGGATCGTAATGTCAATATTTAACTTCCTCTACTAATCTTGCTAGGCCAAATATACATAGCCACCGGACAGAGTCTAGACAGCCATGTTAATTAGACTAATTTGCCAGTCTTACCATCCTTGACCTCCAAGAAACCTGTGGTGTTGACCTGTCCAGCTTTGTTGACCGCCTTGCATGTGTACCAGCCACTGTCATATGGTTCCAGGCTCTCAATTTTTAAACTGACAACACAAAAAATGACATCGTGTCAACATCTAGTTTCGGATAGGAATTAAAGCAGCAGTCAGGAAGAAAACCTCTTTTGAAACTTGCCCCAGGATCATGAAGTTATCTTGTATTTAAATACGAAATTCAAGTATTAATGAAAAGAATACCTCCCTTGGAATTCAATCTGATTTTGGTAATATAGCCCCTATTTGCAATACGGAAAAAAAGAACATCAAATCACATTTCAAAATTTGTAAAACTGAACAAAGTGCGTTTACAATTGGATTTAAATCTAAGGCCTGATTTATGGAAATATTCAATTGTTTCTGCATTAATCTCAAGATTGATTGGAGAAAGTAATTGTCACAAGAGAAGTATGAAATCTGCAGTCAATGTTTAGTCTCTGGAGTTAGGTTAAATGTACAGGAGCAAAAGTGTCTGAACTAAAGAGGTTCTGTTTTACACACCAACCAAATGGTCGGGACTTGACAGGTTCTGTAATACAACGATAGCAAAATAGTCAATCCACAGGAGCTGCATCAGGAAACCAACCCATTATAACAAACAGAGAAAAATCAATGTGCTATAAAAATATATTTGATTTGCTTTCGACAACTTTTCGTTCCAATCTGCTAGTTGTCAGTGTAATATATTGCCAGCAATCAGAGATCTTGGCTTTATCGGACAAAAAACGAGGAAAATTACACCATAAGCCCCAACCATAAATAAACGTGTTATCGTAATGATTCAGTAGGATGTGATTCAACATCAGTGTATAAATCTAACCTCGCCAAAACGGGGACAACAAAACTTCCCATTTATATTGCGTCAGGTGACAGGAAATGGAATTATTTTGAGCGGGGCGGAATATCATGAGCATCAATCTAACTTGTATTGTTGCTGCAGTAAACAATCATTTTGCGGCATGTGAGAAATGTTTACTGTTGCTAGACCTTGTTTACCTTCAGTATAAAAATATAACACAATGGATTGACGAGCTGGGTCTTATCTTAAGAAGGATTTTTTCATTGACCTTGACCTATATATTAATCATTTTGAAGGTTAAATTCAAATAATTGCAAATCCAGGAATTCTACATCGACCTGATTTTGTGATGTCAGTTTTAAGACTTCCTGCTTAGTGTTGGTATTATTTAACATTACTCTATGATTTCCTTGTCAGCATGATTAAATAAAAGCTACATTGATGGAGGAAAGTATGTGAGGCAATCTTATTCCATTTTGAAATGCTTCAAAATCTTACTTCAGTTGATAAAAAGCTGTACCAGGTTTACAGTATTTCAATGCATGGATACAGAACAAAGTAAACTTCAATATTAAAAAAAAATCAGATTTTTGTCTTTATGATCCAATAAATTTGAATTATTCAGAGCAAATAAACTGAAGAATATCATCAAACTAACAGAGCTCTGAACAGCTGACACAGATAATTGACTATCTACTTCTTTTATCATGTTTGCCAATCTTTACAAAAATAAATCAATTTTTCCTAGAACAAGGTTACCAAGGTGACGACAGAGGTAGTGATTATGACACAATCTGTTGTTTCCTTTGCTCTTACAGAACAAATGAAGTCTGTAATCTTTAAACTTTCTCCCATAAAACACTGTTACTTCTGCACCAGCACAAAATACACTCATTCAATAATCACAATTTTTTTTTGTTTTGTAGATAAAGAAGATTAAACATGACAAACACTAAATCAAACAAGAGGCCCAGAGGGCCTGTATCGCTCACCTGGATATCTAAGCAATCATGGCAAAATATTCTCCAAATGAGATCCAAGGGAATATGCCAGACCCTAAGGCCAATCCAGGATCAATTCTAATATCATGACTGCATTTGTATCTTTTTGACCAGCATTTGTATACATAGTTTTGGGGTGGGGATCTCAACCGTTTCTAAGTTATGACCCAGGGGTTAAGTCTGCAAAGTTTGGGCAGACCCTGGGATCAATTCTAATATCATGACTGCATTCGTCTCTTTATGCCAAACAATTGTATATATAGTTTTGCGGAGGGGATCTTAAACATTTCGAAGTTATGACCCAGGGGTTAAGTCTCCAAGGCTGGGCAGACCCCCAGGCCATCTTGGAAGCATATGTGCATTCATTTCTTTACAATTAGCAATTGTATATATGGTTATCGGGTGAGGATCTCAACTGTTTCGAAGCTGTGACTAAGAAACTAGGTCCCTAGGGGTTCAGTCAGACCCAAGGGTCTATTCTATTATCATGACTGCATTCGTCTCTTTATGCCCAGCATTTGTATATATAGTTTTGGGGAGGGGATCTCAACCGTTTCAAAGTTATGACCCAGGGACTATATCTCCAATGGTGGGGCCAGACCCTAGTGCCATCCTGGAAGCAACTGTGCATTCTTCTCTTCATACTCAGCAATTGTATATATGGTTATATGGTTGGGATCTCAACCATTTCCAAGTGAAAACTTATTTTGGCCCCACCCCTTAGCCCGGGGGGTCAGCCCCAAAATTTGTACAATTTTGAATCCCCACCACCTAGGGATGCTTCCAATCAAATATGGTTGATATCCATCTTTTAGTTCTAGAGAAGTCGCTTAAGGCAATATGGGCCAAATTGTCCTCTTTTGGCCCCGCCCCTCAGCTCCACCATTTGTACATTTTTGAATCCCTATCACCTAGGGATGCTTCCAGTCAAATATGGTTGATATCCATTTCTTAGTTCCAGAGAAGAAGTCGCTTAAAGCAATATAGCCAAATTGCCCCCTTTTGGTCCTGCCCCTCAGTCCCCTGGGGGGTCAGCCCCACCATTTGTAGACTCAGTTACAGCGATAGCATAACATTGACCAGATAGACTCAGTTACAGCGATAGTAAAACATTGACCAGATAGACTCAATTACAGCGATAGTATAACATTGACCAGATAGACTCAGTTACAACGATAGTATTACATTGACCAGATAGACTCAGTAAGAGCGATAGCAAATCATTGACCAAATAGCTCACTCAGTTACAGCGATAGTATAACATTGACCAGATAGACTCAGTAACAGCGGTAGTATAACATTGACCAGATAGACTCAGTTACAGCGATAGTATAACATTGACCAGATAGACTCAGTTACAGCGATAATAAAACATTGACCAGATAGACTCTGAGTTACAGCGATAGTAAAACATTGACCAGATAGACTCAGTAAGAGCGATAGCAAAACATTGACCAAATTGCTCACTCAGCCTCCTTAATTCAGGCTCACTGCCACTGTCTATAGCCTCCTTAATTCAGGCTGACTGCCACTGTCTATAGGCTCCTTAATTCAGGCTGACTGCCACTGTCTATAGACTCCTTAATTCAGTCTGACTGCCACTGTCTATAGCCTCCTTAATTCAGGCTGATTGCCACTGTCTATAGCCTCCTTAATTCAGGCTGCCTGCCACTGTCTATAGCCTCCTTAATACAGCCTGACTGCCACTGTCTATAGCCTCCTTAATTCAGGGTGACTGCCACTGTCTATAGCCTCCTTAATTCAGGATGACTGCCACTGTCTATAGCCTCCTTAATTCAGGCTTACTGCCACTGTCTATAGCCTCCTTAATTCAGGCTGCCTGCCACTGTCTATAGCCTCCTTAATTCAGGCTTACTGCCACTGTCTATAGCCTCCTTAATTCAGGCTGATTGCCACTGTCTATAGCCTCCTTAATTCAGGCTGATTGCCACTGTCTATAGCCTCCTTAATTCAGGCTGATTGCCACTGTCTATAGCCTCCTTAATTCAGGCTGATTGCCACTGTCTATAGCCTCCTTAATTCAGGCTGATTGCCACTGTCTATAGCCTCCTTAATTCAGGCTGACTGCCACTGTCTAAAGCCTCCTTAATTCAGGCTGACTGCCACTGTCTAAAGCCTCCTTAATTCAGGCTGACTGCCACTGTCTATAGGCTCCTTAATTCAGGCTGACTGCCACTGTCTATAGCCTCCTTAATTTAGACATCTTCTTTCCCAGCCACACTCTGTAGCTGGATTACTTAGACATTTTTCAATAAAGAAAAAAACATGTCCTTAAAAATACTAGTTAGATTAAATTGTCACCCAAGACTGACTGGTTAAAGTATGGTTGTCTGTATAAGTAAATTAAATCTGTGCTTTCTGAAATTTGTATATTCTCTATGAACTGTTTGGTCCATATAAATTACCATGGTTGCAATTTCCAATTTATGTGTTTCGCTGCATATAAATAATCTAAAATCCAGACGATTCTTTTGCACTTGAGATGGATTAGCTTTGAATGTACCATCATGCTAGCAAGTCCTAAAATTTGTCATAATTTGATTTAAACGACTAACACATGACTATCACACTTTTCAGATTTCAATCAAAGAAGAGTTCTGTAAAGTAATGTGGCAACTCTGTCTTTAAATCACAATATTGTGAAATTAAAAATAAAATGATTTCATGCTTGAGTCTCATAAAGAACTTGACCCTAACCGAAAGCTGGGTGACAAAATGGCCATACGTCTTGGAGTTGTCAACCCCTGGGGGAGTAAGGGACTGCCAGGGTTCACTGGGAATAATGGCGAACTTGGTTCGTGCTTGACATCCCAAAGTCTAAATCTTTTATTTTCTCACTTTTCTCTAAGATCCCTGTCTCCAATTTTTTTTCTATGGGGGCAAATTCAGTTTTCAATTACCAATGTGGCACCATTCTATCATTCGACAGTTACAAGTGATCTGCCCTATCTGGTTCCAGATGGCATCTGTTAGTCCCAGTCCTATACCCTGAGGCCGATCTCACACCGATTTACTCCGCACTCTAACAGTAGCAAATATACCATATTGTATGCTAATCTTATTGTGCTGCTATCAAATCAGCTTTTTTCACTTCTGCATAAAAACAATTTGTTAAAGTATGAATACTATATATCAGTATATCAATTAGTTTTAACAAATTATGAAATTGTTTATTTAAAAACTTAAAAAGGACAAAATGTGTATTCTATATCTTTTAAGATTTAGACTTTGAAAAAACGAAGTTTCACATGTCTTTCAAAATGTCATACATTTATTTTTGTAAATATCAACTCAAATTCATTTTGATATGCAGGAAGACTGAGTTCAGCTTACCACTTTCACTATCACTATCTATTTTTAAAATTTGAATTGTTAATTTGGTAAAAGAACATCATCTTCTAGCATGATAACTAATGTTTGAATATCAATCAACTAATCAAGAACAAATTATTGAACAAATTATTGACTTATTCCAGAACAAATATGATCTAAAGGGAGTGACTAATTCCAGAACAAACATGATCTAAAGGGAGTGACTTATTCCAGAACAAATATGATCTAAAGGGAGTGACTAATTCCAGAACTAACATGATCTAAAGGGAGTGACTTATTCCAGAACTAACATGATCTAAAGGGAGTGACTAATTCCAGTACAAACATGATCTAAAGGGAGTGACTTATTCCAGAACAAACATGATCTAAAGGGAGTGACTTATTCCAGAACTAAAATGATCTAAAGGGAGTGACTTATTTCAGAACAAACATGATCTAAAGGGAGTGACTTATTCCAGGACTAACATGATCTAAAGGGAGTGACTTATTCCAGAACTAACATGATCTATAGGGAGTGACTTATTCCAGAACAAACATGATCTAAAGGGAGTGAGAAGTTGTTTAATGGTTGAAACTGGCCACACAACAATTTATACTTCAAACTCCTAAAAAAACACCAGAATTTCATGTAAAAAAATATGTATTTTTTGGCCTCAAGAAATCAGAGCCATGTATTTTAGCAGTGAGAAATGGGCAATAAATGTGCCAGTTCTATATATAGCTTGTAACACAGAACAACATTAATAGCCTTTAGTTTATCAGCAATTTATGCCTTAATTTTCTCCCAAGTGTTTTTTTTCTCTGTAACTAACTGCAGAACAGAGTTGCAGCAAAGAGATCTACACTGTTAGAGTTACAACAGTACTATTTCAATTAACAACAGGTGTTGGGGGCTCTCCATCAAAGCCAACCATGTATCTGTTTCACTCAGTATGTCTAAATTATTTTCGGAGAAGTACAACAATTAATTGCAATGCTTAGGTACACTAATGGTAATTATACTTGCCGCAGATAATTGATTGCTCCGTATTATTACGGCTAAAGTAGTGCATGATCCTGTGCTTAGTATATTGCAAATGTCAACCTATTACATATGCTTCATTGTCTTGCAATGGTTTTGGTAAAAAAAATCTAAGAGCAAGGATGCTACCATAGTAATTAAATCTTCTTAATTAACATTACTGACATTTATGCCTTTTGTTAATAGCAATCAATGCATTATATATGAAATTCATCAAATATGAAGCAGTTCTATACATATATCTGGGATAAGCCCTTTAATTGTTTTGAAATAAGCCAATTCCCTATAATTTCACGTATTTAATATATGTTTGTCATATTAGGAAATTGAGCTCTTAATTTGATCTTAATTAATTTACTTAAATTAGGAGATTTATTCCTTTAAAGCTTTTCTTCTGAAGCTGCATGATGTATTTACCTCCCTTATATTGGGGTATTTACCTCCCTTATACTAGGGCATTTATCTCCCTTATACTGGGGTATTTACCTCCCTTATACTGGGGTATTTATCTCCCTTATACTGGGGTATTCATCTCCCTTATACTGGGGTATTTACCTCCCTTATACTGGGTTTTTACCTCCCTTATACTTGGGTATTAACCTCCCTTATACTGGGGTATGTACCTCCCTTATACTGATACTGGGGTATTTACCTTCTTGATTCTGATACTGGGGTATTTACCTCACATATACAGGGACATTTATCTTCCTTATATTGGGGTATTTACCTCCCTTATACTTGGATATTTACCTCCCTTATACTGGGGCATATACCTCCCTTATACTGATACTTGGGTATTTACCTTCTTGATTCTGATACTGGGGTATTTACCTCACATATACAGGGACATTTATCTTCCTTATATTGGGGTATTTACCTCCCTTATACTTGGGTATTTACCTCCCTTATACTGGGGCATTAATCTCCCTTATATTGGGGTATATATCTCCCTTATATTGGGGTATTTACCTCCTTTATATTGGGGTATTTATCTCCCTTATATTGGGGTATTTATCTCCCTTATATCGGGGTATTTATCTCCCTTATATTGGGGTATTTATCTCCCTTATACTTGGGTATTTACCTCCTTTATATTGGGGTATTTATCTCCCTTATATTGGGGTATTTATCTCCCTTATATTGGGGTAAATATCTCCCTTATATTGGGGTATTTATCTCCCTTATATCGGGGTATTTATCTCCCTTATATTGAGGTATTTATCTCCCATATACTGGGGTATGTATCTCCCTTATATTGGGGTATGTATCTCCCTTATATTGGGGTATGTATCTCCCTTATACTGGGGTATTTATCTCCCTTATATTGGGGTATTTATCTCCCTTGTACTGGGGTATTTATCTCCCTTATATTGGTGTATTTATCTCCCTTTTGCTGGGGTAATTATCTCCCTTATACTCTGTAGAGCCACTGAGTAAAGTAACAGTTTAACCATTTAAATTTGAAATTGTGTCATCTTTCTACAAAGTGGCTTTTCCATCTAGTTATTTTTTTATTCAAAATCATCTGTAAATTTGTTGTTGTATTCTTGATATTCAACTGAATAAAGTCACTGAAAACCAATAACATGTGTAACGTAAAATCAACTAAAAAAATCGGTAAAGTTCACATTGAGATCCAACTGTAAGCAAGCAAGGACTGAAGAACTTTTCACAAATTAGTACCTTCTCTTGTAGGAGCAGGCCCAGCATAGCATTGCTTCAAGGAGTATGTAACTGAGCTGCAGCAAACTTACTATACACCTTGGAGATCATTATACTAGCCTTATTGCCAAAGGTCAGTTCCCATTTTATGACAATTTTCATCGAATTTAAACATTTCACTTATTAAAATGTACTCTTTTTTCAATATCTCAACAAAAATAACAACACATGAAGAAAAGTTTATTTTAAATTATGTTATCTGACATTATAATATTACCCCTCGAAGTAATTTAGTTCATGTCTAGACAAAAACCATGATACCCTGTTGACAAAGAAATCCAAAACTAAATTGTCATACCTCAATGACAATACGAGAAAGCACACTCTAAACAGCCAATGATAATCAGATATTTTGTCATGTGATGAAATTAAAAAAAAATGGATAAACTATCTATTGTACATTTCTCTGCTCTCACCATTTATAAGGTTTCCGTAGGAACCTTCAATCACCATCTCGCTCAAGCTATCAGGGAGACAGCAGAGACCTTGCAGTTAAAATTTCATGAAACCCAAAGTAACTTTCTATTCCAAGCAACAGTGACTTTGATGTTTGCAGGCTAATGTGTACTTACCGTGAGCCCCATGGAGTAAGTCGAATGGTGATGCGACGCTCATTCTCTCCAATGGGCACCGTGTCCTTGAACCACTTGTAGCGAGGAAGCGGGTTTCCTGATATCTCACATCGAATTCGAACACTATCGGTTTTGAATTTGCTAATATTTTTCATGGCATAATCCAAGTCAAGTGTGGCTGGAGTACCTGGGAAATAGAGATACATTTTAATATACACAGTTACAATACTTACATCTAATATAAATACAAAGGTAACTGTTTCAAAGTCATTCTTACACATTATACCTGTTATTTATGTTGATTAAGTCCTTCTTAAGGATATATGCTACCTTCATCTGTTGTTCATGTAAGAGTTATCTCCCTTAAAGATAAAGTCTTAAGTAAATACCTGTTATTTATGTTGATTGACATCATTAAGGATAAATGCTACCTTCACCTGTTATGCAAGTAAGAGTTATCTCCCTTAAGCATATAGTCTTTCTTACACATTAATCCTGTTATTTATGTTGATTGTTGAGAGTTATCTCCCTTAAGCATATAGTCTTTCTGACATATTGTACCTGTTATTTTTGTCCGAGTAGGTCTAACTCTAAACATGTCATTTATGCTAGAATTATCTCCCTTAGTGATAAAGGTAACCTGACATGATGTCTGTAATTTGTGTTAGATTTAACCCCCTTTAAGAATTCTTGAATTAGCAACCTCAAAAAAATCTTAATTACCAAATCAAGCACTATCAACAAAATTTGTGTCATCAGAAAATATAACAAATATCTACTCACGAAAGACATATTTCATATTTTTTGTGGGGAATTCTTCTGGAATGAAAATACTTCAGGCAAATGTTTCAAATTCTCTGCTCTTATGTCTGACATTTTGGAGTTAATCCGATAAGAGTTACCTGTTGCTAGAGTCGTAAATAGATTCCGTGAATTCCCCGGACAACATCTGAACATTTAATGGTACTACTAGGTCCTATCTTTGTAAATATGTTGACTCGACAGCTCTTACAATACAGAACAATGTTACATAATCTCTGAAAGGAAAGGGTTGAACTTCTGGTTATTCAAAGTACCAAATTTAACTTGAAGCTAATTTCCCTTGATGATAACCCCATAGACATTTGAAATCTATCATGAAAATTCTAGGTTCATATTAAGAACAAACAAAACTAAACCAGACAATAAATACAAGATATTACATTTGCCTCAGTCAAATGTTTGGCTAAATGAATTGTACTTGGAAGCACAAATTCTGGAATAACTCTTTATTTCCGACATCTTTCTCAATTATCTCATTACATACAGCAGCTTATACTATAAGTAAACGATGGCATTTCACACCATTATTTTGTCAAATGCCTGCCACTGTAAGGAAGTTTTTGACAATAAGAGATTTTTCAATATTTTTTCTCCCCCATGAAAAAAATTGAAAGTTTGGCATTAGTATGCATTGTGGAAAATATTTTTCCTCCTTTGGTTCTTTTTTTATTCATACTGGTTTTGTCTCAATGAAATCACTACAATGGGGAACAGGAGGAGGTCCGGTGAGCTAACCAATGTTTATTAAATGACCAAAAACTAACCATACAATATTTTGGTCATCTCACACTTTCGCTCTATGCCTTTTCAGGTATAGGAAATACTGCACTAGTCTCAATTTTTTGTTCATGGTTTAATGACATGATAAGGTTTAATTGACAAATAAGTCTGACACAGCACATGAATCAAGTGGGATAAAAATAAATGTGACACAACGCAATAATGAAATCAACATTTTTATTCCTCAAATGTAGGATCTATTTCATATTTATCAGAACATTTTTCCCGATAATGTGAACGGACAAAAATCCTTAATTACCTATCGAGAGCAAACGAGGCTTATCATGCATTGTGCAAAGGAACTTCATTACCAGAATTTGAAAGTACCTGTTTCTCTTGGCCATTAATGGGTCCCTGTCATGTAATATTCAAACTAAACCACCCATTGATGCATAAGTTTGTAACCTACAATCTGATCTGCACAAAACTTTGGATCAAGATGAGCATGGCTTTGCATGCTTGGCCCGGTGTTAACAGATTGACAAATTGTATGCTAGCCTCGTAACACTGGAATACACAACTTTATCTACAGTAGCTGATGAGGATGTTTTTAAACTTTCTTAATTCATTTTATTTCTCCAAATTGTTAAAAACAACAACATTATTGTTCTTTATCAGATGAAGCTAATGTCTTGGAAATGCTTAAAAAAACTGTAACAGTGATTTATTCCTTGAGCTGTTCTAGCATATCAGAAATTCAATAAAAACAAAAGATTTCAAAATAAATATATTTAAAAAAAAAAACACTATAAATTTTCAATTTTATGTCACAGTTTTTGTGTGAAATATTTCCATTTAAGGAGAATTTTATTTTTGTGATTTGTATTTTCTGATATAAGATAACAATAACTTAATGAAAAAAATTCTAATAAAACTGTAAAGGACAGGTGAGTGGTTGGGTTGAATGGTTGTATGTAAGAATCACATTTAGTAATACATATTTAAAGAGGCAAGTAATGGAAAATAATAGAAATTAAAGATATTGCTACTAACAGAAAAGAAAAGATATAAGTTCAAATTGCATAAAAGAGGAAAAAAGTTCAAATTGCATAAAGAGTTTTGAAAAATAGAAAGAAACACAGAACATATGGACGGGTTTGGAATGTCCCTATTGTAAAAATACTTGTATAATGTAATAGGTAATTGGTAAACAGAAAGTACAAAACAGAACAAGGTGAAGTAATGCAAGCAATCCAGTGTTCCTTATCTCCAAACAAACTTTGTTCAAAAGGAACAAAGGGCTACAACTCTCTATATAGTAGGGAATGGACCATCAGTACAAGACAAAGGGCTACAACTCTCTATATAGTAGGGAATGGATCATCAGTACAAGACATGATATCATTCAAAGAGACACTCACATACAATATTTGATAATTATAGGCATACACTATACATACATTACGCCCCAGGAAAAGGTAACCACTGAGAATAAAGGGCCATAACTCTTTATATGTTGGAGCACAAGACAAAATTTTAGTATGTGATACTCCACTGTTCCAAGAGGTATATACATACAAAATAAGGTAAGTTAAGGCGAGTATATCAGATATGTCCCTGACAAATTGACACACGGACTGACAGACTGACTGACTGATTGCAAATTTAACCAATATTACCTTTGGTTAGCAGACTGGAAGGGAACTAACAATATCATCTTTATCAAATGTAAATTGATATTAAGAAAACCAGTGAAATTAAATGTTTGATTAAAAAGTCTGAAATATGTGTGAAAGTGTGTGAAAAATGTGTGAAAGTATTTAAAAATTGAATGTGTCTTGGTGATTGTATAAAATCATCATCAGATGATGAGGATGAGGAGGATGAGGTTGCTGATAATTTCAATAGTAGATATGTGTGAATGTGTGGATGTGTGTTGATGTGATGTTCTGTATAATGTACATGTTCTGAAAATCTTGGAAAAAAAAATAAAAAAATAAAAANAAATTTGAAAAAAAAAAAAAAAAAAAAAAAAAAAAAAGAAGTCTGAAATAATAAATCTATGTATTCGGTACAATTGACATGATAATTCTGTAAACCAAACTAAGGTATAGACAATCATGCAAGCTTTATAAAAACTTCAACATAATGTCAGCTTCCCAATGGTACATGTATGGATCTGGCAGTAATGATATACGACGCCCCTAACATCACGTCCCTGTATTACAGCTATCAATCATGCAGATATTGTTATCAATTTCATATACGCAACTGATATCAGGGTAATTGAATCCAAATTCTTCAGGAAATATTGTAGAATAATTTTTAATTGATACTACCTTAATGCTTCATTTTTGTTAATAGGTATCAAAATATTTTCGATGTTGATAACATGTACTTTATAATCATAACTCAAATTTTTGAACCCAGATATTGAGATATTATGGCATTGAATCATGATTTTTTATTGAAATTAAAAAGGTGTAAATTATGTGGCGCTTACATAAAAGTTCTGTAATGAATTAAATTGCAGTATTTAATGGACAATGGTAGATAATGGTGCTATCGTCCCTCCCCTGTCCTCGTCCACCAGGCCATATACTCAATAAACATAATGATGGTTTACTGGAGGTTATACAGATATGAAAAAGAAAAAATAACAAAATTCTGCATTATCAATGACCTGCCAGAGTAATTTGTGAGAAAAGACGTATGAATCAATCATGATACATCGTTTCTATAACGCTGACAGGTGTCTCAGCAAATCGGGCTAAAATTCTCCAAATGCTTAAGATGCAATTAATCATTAAATGCACTTGACAGAAGCTAATGCGATAGGGTGGCATGCATTCTGTCCATATGGAAGCGGTATGAATCTTACATATATTTGAGAAACATACTGTGAATGTTGGCATTTTTCGAGTGGGTTTTGATTTATGTTTATAGCTCAAAGTTCTTTGCTATTAGGCAATATATACGTTTCCACCCATTGAAGAAAACGTAACACACATCAAAAATAACTGCGGTAGTATCTAGAAATTTGATCATTGTCAATCATAACAAATTCACACCATATGCAATAAAACTAGCAATATAACATAACAATAAAAGAAAAAGTAAAAATATTTTATTAATTTACTAGTAGTTAAAATTTATTGTCTTGTCAATGAAACTACACTGAAAAACAGGCCGACTTATTAAATAATTAAACAAGATCTGGCCATAAGCCAACACCATTTTATGTATTGTATACCTAACTTTTATTTAATTTATTGTGAATATGGCAATTTATTTTTAACTACTTTATATAATATTTTGGCACATGAATTGTGAACTTTAAACACTGACATGAAAGTTCTGCATTCTTGGATTTCCTAGGTATTACTGTCATATATATTCTGAATTAATTGCTGTCGACCAACTAATAGGAGCCAGTGGCTTCAGGACCTGTGGTCAGTAGCATTAAAGCCAGGCTGATTGACCACTCGGCACAGCCACTGGACCCCTATGATTCCATTTGCTTGATTGGTCTAGTGTCAATGGTAGTCAAGACTTCAGGAAACACAAGTTGACAGCGTCTTGTGGCTATTTTCTGCTTCATGTAAACTCTTGAATAAATAGCCTTTTGACCTAACTTGATAGTTC